ATACCTTAAAGCACTGATACACAGCCCTACTGGTAGCTGTAGCACAACCAGTCTGCTGGCCACTGGAGCAGTAGATGTTACGTCTGGGGGATTGAACCAACAACCTTCTGGTCAGGAGCTTGCTTATATATACTCTGGTCACCACAGCCCTACCAGCTTCTGATAGACGTGTTCCATAGTGTGTTAATGTGCAGTGATGCTTTATTGACAGATAGCTAACCATCCAGCTACATGGTTAGCTATCTGTCAATCTGTCATAACTGTAACATGAAGACTATTTCTACTGTTTGCTTCGTGAGGAAAAATGAAATAATTGCTGCAGTAATAACTTTCCAGAGTTGTAAAATCCTGTCGCCAAGTATTATACAGCACCGTGCTGTGTTTTGGCATCTGATAAGCCTTCGAGCTCATGAATCTATTACTCAAACTGGCCTCCCCGGATTGTATTTCATGTCTCGCGCGTACCTGAAACAACATGCCCCCACCTAAACACACGGACCAAATACAGTGCAGAGACATTCGGGCTTTATGGAAAAGGTGTCCCAATTTGGAGAAAAATGCCTCAGTAACTCAGTAGTTATGGAATATGCTGACACTAATATAATATAATCTTTGAAATACGTCTTTACCGCAGATATGAAAAGTACAAATAGTTCTAAGTCATAAGAATAATGGGTACAGCGATCAAAACCAGTTATTTAGTTAACCAACAACAATAAACTGCTATGTTTTATTGTTTAGATTTTTGTTGAGTACAGTTTGATATCTAAACGATTACTTCTGAGTGAACAGAGGGACGCAGTGTTCCTCTGTCATCAACGTCACATCGTTCAACGTATCGTCATACACAGTTCGTACGATATCTTCCGAAAAGTTATTTGTTCTCATTTTTCGTGCTTTTTCCTACAAAAGCCCAAAAGAACGTGTCAATCCACTTGTTACATGCATACAGTCTTTAGTTCGGTTTAGGCAACAAAACTGCTTGGTTAGGTTTAGAAAAAGGTCATCGTTTGGGTTAAAATAACTACGGAAGTGCCATTGCAGAAGTATGCAAGTCACGTGACAAACACACGCAGCAGTCTTCTGGGCGAAGAATTACCTTCACCGCACGTAGGATAAATGTCAGCTTGAGAAAAAGTAATGTAACGTTATACCAGTATCTGCAAACCTTCTCCAATCGTCATCATCAACGGTAACGATTGGTGTGTGCTGCAGCTGCTTTCGATGAGCTGAGGGCACATGAGACGGCCTGCTTGGTCTTTCTCTAGTCTGTGTAAGAACCAGGCGGTAGGAAGGAGTGATCATTCGCCACCATCAGGATACAGTCAGACCCACATACAGAATAGAAGCTGGTAGGGGGCCTATTGGGGGGGGGGGGGGGGCACAAATAATACCCCCTTTGTATGTTCCAAATATCCCCTGCTGAAGCTCCCTGAGCCTGGCTCTGTGCTCCGGGGATCCCAACACCACATTAAGAGCTGCTTACAAGTGTATACGGTGTAAGTTTTGGGGGGATTTGAAATGGGAGTTGCAGGAGGTGGTGGTACGTAATGTTGCAAAAGGAGCTGCAGCGTGATAAAAAGCAGGTTTGTGCTAGTTTTTTTTTGTTCACTTCAACAAGGTCCAGAGCCATGTTTGGAGAATGGCTAAACAAATGGGCTATTATTTGCTGCAGTAACTCCAGAGGTGCACCGGACAGGCCGGGGGAGTAACGGTGTCCCAGCGTATATATCCTCTGCCGGCCTCAGTCGTCTCCATCGAGATTTAAGTTCCCCATTGTAGCTGAAATGAAATCAATCCCACCAGGGCCCTTCTGTGAGGAGGACCATTTGGCTGTCAAGAGTAGGAGTTGTGTTCCCATGTAGCCGAGCTGTATGTGCACATCGGTGTTGGTTAAGCATGTGGTTAAGTAGATGCCTTTGGACACTGAGGCCTGCAGCTGCTTGTTTTATGTTGAAGAGGAATGATTGATATTAGGATTAGGGCTGCAACTGATTACTGACTCATTTCCTGATTATTTTAACAATATATTATGCTAATATAGTGGAATAAAAACAGTCATAATAATGATAATCCAAGGAGACTCTTTAAAATAGCTTTGTTTGTTTGACCAGCTGTCCAAAAGCCAAAAGTTCACATTGATGCAAAACAATGAAAAGCAGCTGATGATGACATTTGAGAAGCTGTAACCAGCCGATGCTGTATTTTAAAGGAAGTACTCAAGTTCTGTAAGGATCATTAGTTGCTCTCCTTTAGCTGGCAACTTTTCACACTGGTTGCCCCAAATGTGAGCAACACGGCAACGTGACACTTGCAAAGATGTTGCTTTGACAAACGGGGACTATACGAGGACGGTGTCAGTGTAAATACCTGACTTGATAATATCATTTAGGCTAATAAAGAGAGAGTTTTCATCTTCGGTGCTTCTTTACTTCAGATTCAGGCCGATAAATTGAAACCTGGAAATGCGTGCTGACACTCGCTGGCACAGGATTCCATCCTTCTGGCTTGTGTCTCAACTACCCCATCGTCTTTGCTTCCGTCATTTAAAAAAATGCAGCATTAAAAGATGAGTGCACCGCGGCCTGTCTCCTTTGAAAACTGAAATGATTTAGCTGATGACTTTGAAGAGAACGTGTTATGATGGTTCCAGCGTGACCCCTGAGGTCAGGTGGAGACACGACAGTAAAGTGAGACAGAACCATGTCTCGGGTCTTTGAGGCCCTGCCTGCCACCCTGCTGCAAGGACTTGGCAGATGCATCGGAAAGAGGTTGACGGGACAGTGTCACTCCGCTTCCTCTTTCACAGGCTCCGCTTGATGAATGACCGTGTGAAAGGCGGTAGGTTAGGATAGGTTTGGGATTGCACCTCTATATGTGTGTGTTAGTGTTGCAGAAGAAGGGTACCAGACACCTTTTATTTTTTTCCCTCTGCATGTCATCTCTGAAGTCGGAGTAATTTATGGCTGTCAGGAAGTCCCCAGAAGCGCTCTCATGCCCGAAAAAGAAAACCTTGACTGGGGTCGGGATGGGGGGGTCGGGATGGGGGGGGGGGGGGGGGGGGGGGGGGGGGG